CATCACAGCCTGGAAGATAGATGAACAGATTACTCAGCCCAGCTAAAGCTCATTCATGGATAATTCTCCGCCGAGAGCTCGGCAACAACACGAGCCCAGATTGATTACACTCTGCTGCCTCAGTAAACCCCTCCTTCGTCCCCCCACCTGCTGCTGCACTTTGGTAAAACCAAAGCCTATTGAACATTTAGGTTAGTAAAAGTTGTTGACAGGGCAGCGGGAGGAGTCAAAAGTTCATAAAGTCATGACATAATACTCTTTGTACAAAAGGTATAATAATCATGGAATATATAAACACTTTCAAGTTAAACAAAAACATCTTAAAAAGTTATTAAATATAAATCATTTTTAAAATTCTGATCCGAAACAGAAATGAAAAATGTTTCGCCTATTTTAATTTTCCTGTGTATGCCCTCTGCTTTTCTGTCATCATCACATCCTCGCCTTCGTAGCACATCAGTAGTTTTTGGTTGAGTTATTGGCAGTGCTCCGTCATACAGAACAGTTAAATATGCACTATTTAAGGTGCTAACATAAGGAGTTTGCTGACTGTTTATATTTCAAAACAGAACCACTTCAAGCTCTTCCTTAGTTCAGTCGGTTCCTCTTTCCTGTTCTGGGATATCACCACCATTTTTAATTCTGTATCAACTGGACTGAAACTTTGGTTTACTATCATCAAAACTCATTTTTACCCTCACCCTGGTATAAACCATTGCTGTTCAGCAAGTTACAGAGACAGCAACACTAGTACCATAAATAAAAGTAAACATTCATAAGTGTGAGTGGTAAGCAATGCAGAGGCTCTCAATTTAAACTTTAACATGACATTTTAGATGCTACGTGTACAGAACATTGTGCAAGTTATCAAAAAGCAGACGATATTTCTCAGACTGAGTGGTTGGAAAGAGACAAAAAAAAAAGAAAAGCTGAAAAGGCAGACGGGATAAAGGAAAGAGCGTGAGTCAGACTATAAACACTCGGTTGGGTTGATGTTATACAGCTGCCTTGAAAGCTGATCCAGAGGTTGGCAAGTCCACCACAAACACAGAAAAACAGACCCAAACTAGGTCTCCCTGCCTCCGAAACCCCAGAACCAAATCTGATGACTCACTCGGTGTGTATACAGAACTCTGGCAGCGCACACACATTTACAACAACATATATCACACATAAACCAACAGGCTCTGGGTTTGTTGGATGAAGGTTTGTGGTGGGGTGACAAGCAAGGGTGTGGGGTGAGGGGTCACGGAGTCAAGAGGAAAATAAATCTGTCAACACACACGCTCCAGTGGCATGAAATCAGTGCTTTACACCTCCAAGTGAGAGGGTCAAGGATCTCCCAACGCACATGTACACACTCAAACTTTATCCACTGATCCTCCCTGTTGCACCCTGTTGAATGCCACTTACATTACAAGAATATTTTAACAACCACAAAAAGCCTGTCTGTTTCTGTAGGAGCTGGACCACTTCCACTCCAGAACACCCAATCGATCACATATTAATCTGAATCAAAAACTTCTCTCGAAGACTGATCAATGATTGGTAAAACAAGTAGAAGGGGAAAAAAATCATACAAACCGCATGCCAATTTGTGGTAGCTTTAGCAACCAGAACAAAATCAGTTTATATGATTTAATTAGTTTAGAGTTAAAAATGAGGTTTCGTAAAATATCTATGTGCTACAAGTTGCTCAGAAAGATTATTGATTATTGATTGTATCCCTCCAACAAGGGATACGATCATGATCAATGGAAAGAAGGGGTGTTTTTTTTTTTTTAAAGTCTCCAAAAAATATAAAATTAATTTACAAGTGAGACTTTTACATTTTTACAGCTAAGTAAAAAATGTTTTAGATTTATGGTTAACTTTGCCCACGTTTCCTCTGACAAGAGATAATAAGCCTTTTTTGAAGTGGCTCTGTTGGAGTTCTGACCAACAGAGATAGAATCTGTGGAGGCAAGAATGTAGAATTTGAGATGAATAATCCAAATATTAGTGGAAACAAGTTGGTCAACACTTATAAAGAGGGTTTGATTGCTCTAATGGCAATAAAGACTTTGCCATTGATTATTCAGAATAGAGTAGTCTATGTATTTTTTCTTCCTGGTTAGATACGGTTTCATTTATTTATGCTGCGGTCCAGTTGTATTCAGAACTGGGAAATTCCGACTTCAACTAGAATGGCCTCCCACCTATCTATGAGATTCGACTTCCAAGGTAACGGGAATGCAGGATTATTATTTAGTTTCACTTTTTCACTCCTTGCTTCAAAAACAATTCTTGCAGGTTTGCTGCGTTTCATTCAGTCATTTACTTTGGTGAAAACTACCATTATGCTCAGTAAAAATAAAAAGTTAGAATTGAATGTCAAGCTCTCCAAAAGCAGAAAATCATAATAAGGATCCTAAAGTTACCAAAAGTTTCTCCATGCAGAGTCTAAAATGTAAGTTGTTGTTGCACAGAAACTGGATTACAGCGGAAATATGAGTCTATTAATGCTTATCCCTTGGAGCAGAAAAAGCATCCCACCGGCCTCACTCCTGCAGCAGTGCTGTGTCTTAATACCAGTCATTTCAATATTGCCTAGAAAAATCATTTTAAAGGAACACAGTTTTCTACAAACTCCAGTTTGCATCTTTATACCTCCTCAAACATGTTCAATCCTCATTCAGATAAGCCCGAAATCTGACAAAAAGTCACCACATTATGTTGTCAGCTTGCTGAAGCAAGCCCTAGAAATAAAAGTGAGTACTTCTCCAGTGAACCGGATAAAGCAATAAAGGGAAAAAAATGGTGCTTGTGTTGATTTATGAGACAGTAAGACAAAGAAAGGAGGCAGATTCAAAATGACAGCAAACAGGAGAAAACAATAGAAAAATGCCGCCTCTGCTTAAGATGTTAAGTTTGACATGAATTCAACTTTTTTTTAAGCGGACTGTGATGTTCTTCATGTCCAACATTAATACAGACCTGCAGGAGAGTCCTAATTGGAGGCAGTACAAGGCTGAAGGTCCAGCAAGGACTACTTTTCCATCAGGCCCCCATTAACCTTTTGAACAGGCTGCTCCTCTGATAGTTCAGCTGTTTACAAGTCCCCACCACTTTCTAAAAGTGTTCAGTTTCAGGTGCTTGGCTGGCTGCAGGGCCTAAATATAGACACTAAGTAAGATTTCCCTGGAAAGGGACACACTCTCAGGGCAGGGGGTCGAATCTGTGTGTTTGTGTGTTCTTTCTATTTCCAGGTCTCTCAGTAGCAACTGTCAGTGAAGTGAAGAAAATATGGACACAATGACACTTAGCACAGCTTTACAGTTAATTTCAAAACATAACTCTAAGGGAGAGCTATATTTACATGAGTCTGCAAAAGGATGTAGAAGAAAATTTAGCTGGTTTAGTCGATTCATCTACACAACAGTAACTGGAGACAGATCAATTTGGATTTTTTTTTTGACAATACTGATTTTCTGTTTTTCTATTTTTGACAGTTCAATGCATGTCTACTGCTAACTTCATCTGGGAAGATATAAAAGAAAGCCTCCAATTTGCAGCCAAAACAATGTCATTGCTAAGAGGGAAAAAACAAAGGCAAAATTATATTGCTCTAACTTGTCCTGTCCAAAAATGAATTATTTTAAAGAAGTAAGATTTTTTTTTAAACTTATGCAATTCAGGCTGTTGCTTTGAATTCTAAGTTATTGGAATGTTATTCGCAATAAATATTTTCCCAAAATCCAAAAAAGTTAACCAAGAGACTTGGGATTTTATTTCATGCTTTAGTTCCTAAAAGTGTGATCCATACAGTAGCTAAAATGTCAGGTGACTTTTCTTTTTCTTTTTCTTGACTTTTAAAGAAACTTTTAAAGTCCAGATAAACTACTATACCAGTAACAGGCTGTGCTTTTACAGTGACCCAAAATAATGAATGCATTCATTTTATATCAAGAGATCAACTTATTTTCAATAAAATAAAAAACAAATAATATTTATTAAATACATCCAAGCACAAAGAAAGGTATTTTTTCTTCCAGCTAATCTGTTTTTTATACTTATCAATAACTAAAAACAAGTACAGTACATAATTAAGCAGTTGTAAAATTTTATTTTGAAATAACCCATATTTTAAAAGTTTAAAGATTCATCATGCAGTTATGAAAAAACTCATTAAATAAGGCAGAATTTTGCATTACACTCATCATTGTGATGGAGTTGAGTGAATTCAGTAGTAGGGTTTTTTTTTATTATGTCCTCTTAGATGCTTGATTAAAACCTCAATAGTTTAAGATTTCCGAATATTTAACGAGAGAAAAAAAATCCTGACATTCAACTCAGAAAAATGTGATGGCTAAATTTAGTATCACACAGAACTTTTTAGTAATTCCTCATCATGTCTCTTTATTCATTTTGTGTATTAGCATCGCACTGAGAAATCAGCAGGAGAGAATATTAAACTGCAGCTCAAGTTCTGTAATTATTTATTAAAATCCTGCATCCTCCACAACACCACCAGTCTGCATATCTTAAACACACTACTGCAACTAAACATTTCTGAGCTGTCTCTGTTCACACACTGTTCCCTGATATTTTTTATCCAAGTTTAAACATAATGGGAAGAAGAGTTTAATGGATTCCAGCAAATGACTACATAATCTTTAGAGCCACAGCCCATTTAAAATGGTAATGTTTAATTTGCTAATAAATTAGATTATATATAAACTCTAGCCTTTAAGCTTTTATCTGTGTGTAACTTCTGACCTTGCCAAGCTTTGGCAGAAACTCTTCAGAAAGAGTCATGCAGAACTTTTGTTGTAATGTAATTAATGTGCAGGAGGCATAGTGTTATTATTTGAGTATAACAAGACATTATTGTTATGAATCATAGTCCCAAAAGGACTAATCTTGTTAATCACAAAACCTGGAAATGATAAGTCAAGTCTCTGACTCATAGGCATTAGGAAACAGTTGTGTTTTTGTGTCTTGTCAGTTGTAATTCATACCTGTGCCTTTGTTGCGATCCACAAAGCAGTACTTCAGCTCATATTCTTTCAGAATTTCATGGACTTCCTGCAATGACACATAAACATAAGGTTAAAAAGCTTCACAAAATACTATCAAATTTTTAGTTTTAAAATACTGGAACCTCTTATTTCTATTAAAATTAGAAATCCTTCTTATTCAATTTGGTTACATCAGCAAATGATGCCAACCAAAAGTTGCTAGTTGAGATTAGTTTATTGAGTGCGTTATAAAATGTTAGCCCTTTACATTAACAATTAATCTTTAGTCTACTGATAAGATCAGTCAACATTAGATTAACTTATTAATCGATAACTTGCATTACCAACTTAAACCAAACAATACATAGAGAGAAGAACCTAATACTGCCCTCACCGTGCTTGTTCATGTTTGAACTGGTTCAAACATTAAAACCTCAGCATCTCTTATACTGGTAAGCAGGGAATCATTTTGTTCTTTACATAATTTGATTTCTAGTCTCTGATCTCAAGAGCTATAATTAACCAAAAAAAGACTAAACAGAACCCTAAATAACTGAAATGATGCTCACAAGTTCTGCTAATAACAGGGAAGAAACACAGGCAAACATTTGTCTTTATCTTTATTGAAAAGAAACAAATTAGTGTTCTTCTAAACAAGTAGCTTAAAGTGAAATTGTTAAGATGAAACGCTTTCTGCCTTTCAGCCACACAAAGACAGAAGAACTCCAAGCCACATGAGAGGCAAACGCTGATGCATCAAAGCTGTAAATCAGATTCTCCTCTCTAGCTCAAATGCATTTGTCTCTTTGGTGACTGGATATGATGAGGTGAGAAAAGACAAGAAGCAAGAAGATGCAATAATACAGCAATAGATCCCTGCATTCCTGCTCATTGCTTGATTCTCTTGGCCTCACTACCTTCCTTACTCGTTTGACATACAGCTTCTCGACTATGGTTTCGTAAATTATAGTGGAGATTGCTTAATGGTAGGAACAAGTATCTTTTTAGACTTCAGGCTCTTGTAATTGAAATGTTGCAACATAGTTGTGCAGAACAAAGTTAAACTCTTTGAGGCTGGAACAGAAAAGTAAAAAAAAATAAACTCTGTGTTTTGTAGTGGCCATCCCAAAGCCCTGATCTCATATAGAGAATTTGTTGGCCGATTTGTAAAGGTGTGTGCGAGTGAGGCGGCCTACAAACGTGACTCTATTCTAGCAGTTCTGTTGGGAAGAATGGGCCAGAACTCCAGCAAACAACTATGAGAGGCTTGTGGAATAAAATGTAAAAATGTTTGACGCAATGCATACCAAGGCAATGACAACAAACACTGGTATGATGTGTGTGAACTTCTAATTTGAGTAAGTAAGAAAAAAAAATATCTTTTTATGTTAACTTCTATTGATGTAAACTTCTGTATATAAGAAATCTCTAGAGTAAAGTCATAAGCGAAAAAGCTCATATATTTTGACGTGTGGTTGAATCGAGCAGGTGTTACCAGTATGAACTTGCTTTACATAAACACATAAACTATTCCCTGAAGGCTAATGTTAGCAGCAAGTCCAAACACAACAAAACCAGACTAGATTTATATCTAAAGCTACATTATATAAATGAACCTTTAAACTCATACTAGCAGGTCTATAGTCATCCATAGTAAAGACTGCAATAAGTCATGGTCTGTTGCATTGACCTTATGAAATGTGACGTGTACAAACAAAAGTGGCAGCACATGCTAGGTAAGTAATGCTGTTTCTGTTCCAATCCAGCTGATTTAAATGATTAATTTGCATCCCTGTCTCTGAGGTCTCCAAATGAGCCATTGTGTCCCCTTTCATTGTATTGTGGTACAAGTATCAAAATACTTAATCACTGTAAACAGTTTATCTCACTGCAGTTTCTGAGGTTTAAAGTCTCTTTACACCATACGGAGCAGTCCCTCGACTCTCAATTGTAGCAAGTCCTTAAGATTTAAAGGTCGGGGAGGATCTTTAAATCAAATAGGTCTCTGAAGACCTTAGGGCTCGACATGATTCATACCTAGAATGTAACTCAAACATTCATTTCAAGCCAAGACCGTTTAGTGCTTTCCAGACCAATAGAGAAATGTTGTAGTCTTTCCTTCTTCAAAGCTGGGAGCCAGGGCAGTGGCTTAAGAAATGGCGCGATATGAACAATGTTCCTACAGTTACTCGGTTGATTGTATATAATTTTTTTGCAGAAACCTGTAAAGGAATTATTACAATATTCCTAATTGTAAAAGCAAGCCCAAGTTTTTCCTTATTTTCTGTTTTCAAATGAAACCCTTTGTTCTGGAAGTGTTTTAAGATGCAAGTTGGTTTACTGAAAAACTTTATGTGGCTGTAAAAACTCAGGTCTGTGTCCAAAAGGTTTCTTGCATGCTCTGTCTATCTTTAGCTCCACTGAGTCCAGTTGAGCACTGATTTCTAGTGTTGCAGTTTTGGGACGACTGACTTCTGTTTGCTTGTCATACAGGGAGGCTGAATCAAGCACACCAGCTTGTTCTTTTGTTGTCTTAAGTGCCTCTCTCTTAATGAGCTGGATTTAAAAACAATATGGCAACCTTTTGTAATTCTCATGCTCAAGTTGAGGACTAATGAAGGACAGATGCTGCTAAAATTGTCAATTAATAAAGAAATAAAATAATGGCTCAATAAAGTAATTACTGTGCCAAATAACACGTTAAAAAATACAAGACATAAGAACTTTCCGAAGTCATTTAATATAGTGTTAATGTATATTATTTACAATATATTAATGTAACATTTATATAATTTTTATTTTATTTTATATACAATCTTATTGTTAAATTAGTTTCCTTTTTTTCATAATACATTTTTTTTAAGATTTTACATTCATTTAAAGTTGGATATTATGTCCTACTTTGGTATGTCATGCCAAATAATTGTTAAATTCAATTATGAAAATGCCATTCATACTGAAAGCAAGAAAAACTTGACTTCGAATCATAGATGTGTCTGATGCCTTGAAATTGGCCTCTGTCTCTTTAAGAAGCTCCGACCTTTTCTGACACTACCCCTTCATCATGTCATGGTTCTAAATGATGCCATTTACCGCTATTCTTAGGAGCGTTGCTGTTTGTATGTTTCACCAGGTGTTTGCTAATTGCAAATTGCAAAATACAGTCAGCTCCTCTCCTATTGGTCCAAATTCTGTGCACACAACACAGAGTTTGTGTGAGACAATCTCTGTGTGTAAGCAGAGCTTATTTGTCTGTTACTTTTCTAATCTATGGACATTATTGCAAAGAGATTAGATCTATTGCATTGCATTTGCTTGAATAGCATTTTTTTAAGAGCTGATGGGTTTTTAGAGGACACCAGTTTGATGCCAGTTAATGTTTTTAGTGTGTTTATTCACTGTCAGAAAATAAAGGATGCATTTTCTGCTCTTATTCAAGTAGAAAAATAAAGACATGAACTCTGCATTGTAATAATGATGCAATTCATGGTCATATTGTTATAAACAGATTTTTTGTGTTTTGAGAGATTATGTAGGCAGACTGTATGTGCAAATTTATCACATTATTTTCCTTAGACCCTGAAAAGAATAGTATACAAATATCTGTTATTGTCCCTCAGAGGCCGATTACATACCCAGAGCACTAATAAAATGAATATTGGTGATTTGACAAATGATTCTCTTTTTCTATCCATCTAACCAGCCAGCTCACTCCTGTACAGAGTAGAGATGTTACATATCACGGATCATTGCATCATTTTGGAATGACTCTGTCTAACAAACTGTTCCTCTCTGCACTCTTCTATCTCCACCGCATTTACTGCAAATTAACCATTTAAAAAAACAGAAGACAGGAAGGAAAGGATCAATATTATTTCAGTGACTTCCACAGCCCTTTGTGATACTAAAACCAGAGTAAATTACTCCACTGAGTGCATTATTATGTTTCAATGTGCATCCATTTGCTTTTGTCCACTTCAACTTGGCTGAAAGTTCAGCTCTCTCAACATATGACAAGATATTTAGAGAGCATTTATAGTGCCCAAACAAAGTTGCTACTCCTCTAAACAGTTAAACATATGCTATTTTTATTGCCAGTCTCTGCTTAAAATTTCAGCTTATATACCATGTAGATTTTATTTTTAAAAAGAGTTTTATTCATATTGGTATTCTTTTTTTTATTTTAAAGGCCTTTGTGAATGTGAGGGACCCCTGTAATGTGGCAAAGTTCATGCTTAGCCAAAACAAACCACAGGGCACTTTCACTTTGCATAATGAATTCAAGCTGCTTTGTGTAACTTTGATAAATAGTAGCAGCTAATACTCCCAGAGCTTCCAGTACTAACTGTAGAAATACACCACTCAGTCAGAAACAACAAATCACAGCCTGGAAGAGGGTTGTAATGCTGTCAATCAGGCATGTGTACAGCCTGCCCCTTAACTTCTATGGTTCAGCTGGTTCACTACAACATAAATGCTAAGGCTAGTTAGCCACATGTGACAGGAAGTAGACAGTTTTCTTGGAACTGCAAGTTGTCTTTCCACAATCAGCACATTTAGCAGCCCATACATGAGCTTGATTGACAGCTATGACCATCCTCCTGGCTCTCTCTGGTTGTTTTTGACCAGGATCGGTGCCTTTTTGCCGCCTGCAGTAGTAGCATTGTGAAGAGGTAAAGGAGCTTTTTTCCCCCATATATTATCTGCCTCCTATTATACTGTCACAACATGATGACAGTTTTAATAAATATGAAAAAATTTGAAATATTTTTTCTCAAAGTCACTTACTGCAGCTTTAAACTATACCAAGAAATCAGGAACTGCAAATGAACTGTTTACAGTGTGACTCCAGCAACTGCCTGTAACACTATGTGCTCCACACAGAAACAATACCAGCTACTGTATGTTATTTGGTGAACTATATACAAATTGTAAGTGTGCATGTGTACCCAACTTTGTCCAAACTGGACCATTCCTTCTGGGTGCTCATCATGGTAGTTAACTTTTCTCCCCTCCAGTGGGGTTAGTTGACCAAAGCCATTTCCCTGAGCCTTGCAGTTCTGAAAA